GGGGATTTAGCTCAGTGGTTCCACCGCCTGCCTTGCAAGTGGAAGGACCTGAGTTCGATCTCTGGTACCAAAAAAAAAAAAAATCCTCAATAAGATACTGATAAACAGAATGCAGCAATTCATCAAGAAAGTTATACACCGTGACCAAGTTGGATTCATCCCAGGGATCCAGGGATGGTAATACACTAATTAATAAATGTAATACTCTATATTAACAGAGCCAAGGACAAAACCCATATAATCCACCCATTCATGATTAAAAAAAAATCCTACATAAAATTGGAATAGATGGTCTTTATCTCAATCTGATAAACCAATCTCATAAACCATCTATGACAGCCAACATCATTCTAAATGGACAAAAACTGAAAGCTTTCACTCTAAAATCAGGAACAAGACAAGAATGTCCACTGTCACCACTCTTGTTCAATGTAGTTCTGGAAACACTAGCCAGAGCAATTAGACAAAAGAAAGAAAAGGAATAAGGATAGGAAAGGAAGAAGTTAAATTATCGTTATTTGTGGGTGATATGATACTCTACATAGAAGACCCCAAAAACTCCACCAAAAGACTTCTAGATTTGATAATCAAATTCAGCTGGATATAAAGTCAACACTCAAAGATCAATAGCCTTCCTGTACATGAATAAGAAACTCACTGTGAGAGAAATTAGAGAACCAACCCCTTTCACAATAGCATCCAAAAAATGAAATACCCAGGAATCAATCTAATGAAGGAAGTAAAAGAACTCTATGTTGAAAACTACAGTACTCTGAAAAAGGAGATGGAAGAGAATATCAGAAAATGGAAAGCTATCCCTTGTCCTTGGATAGGAAGATCCAATGTAGTAAAAATAGCCACACTGCCAAAACTGTTATACAGATTTCATGCAATCGCAATCAAAATTTCAACAGCATATCTCACAGAATTAGAAAAAACAATCGTAAAATTCATTTGGAACCATTGAAAAAGTTTTTACCAGCTATTCATCAGAAAAAGGACTACTATTTAGAATATATAAAGAACTCAAAAAATTCAGATCCCTCAAATTTAAAGACCCAATCAAAAACTGGGCATCTGAAATGAAGACACTTCTCAGATGAAGAAGTGGAAACAACAAATGAATATATGAAAAAATGTTCAACATCACTGGTCATTTGTGAAATGCAAAGTAAAACAATGCTGAGATTCCATCTCACTCCAGAAAGAATGGCTGCTATCAAGAAATCAACCAATAACAAATGCTGGCGGGGCTGTGGGGAAAAAGGAACCCTGCTCCACTGTTGGTGGGAGTGCAGGCTGGTGCAACCACTATGGAAATCAGTGTGGAGATTCCTCAAAAAACTAAAACTAGAGGTTCCCTTTGACCCAGCTATTCCTCTTCTTGGTATCTTTCCAAAACTAGTAAAAGCATCATACCACATAGATATATGCACACCAATGTTTATAGCAGCACAGTTTGTAATAGCTGAATCTTAGAAACAGCCCAAATGCCCATCAACTGACCAGTGGATAAAGAAAATATGGGGTTTTATTTATACAATGGAGTACTACTCTTCCATAAAGAAGGATGAGCTTCAGACATTTATAGCTAAATGGATGGACCTTGAGACCATACTCTTAAGTGAAATAAATGGGACACACATGTTTAAATACTGCATTGTTGCTCTAGTGAGAAACTGAAAGTGGAAATAAAAATTAAAATATATAATAGACATTGGGAAATAGGAAGAAAATGTTCAAATAGGAAGGGGAACCAGGGAGGAGGGACAGAGAAAGGAAGGAAAGGACAAGAAAAAAATGTGAAAATAGAAAGAAAAAGTGGAAACAAAGCTTTTATACATAGGGAGGGGAAAGGGAAAAAGAAGCAGAATGGATCATGTATGTATAGGTGCAAATTATCTATGATGAGTGTTATTATGTGTGCCTAAAATGTACCAATGAATGTATATTTCTACATATATTTCCGCATATATTTCCACATATGGTATATATAGTATATATATCAACTTTCAATTTCTTTTTTTCCTTGGAAACTGTTTTTCTTTATCATACATGTTTACGGTATATAATGATTACATTCCTTGTATGGATTTGGTACAGGTACCTAACTCATCTGAATTCCTTGTTCCATCCCCTTTTCCTCCCCTTGTCCCCCCTTCCTCCATCTCTTGATCTTTAATTTTTGTACTTTATATACTTTAATATCTTACAGAACATTTACCCCTCATTCTTTTTTATTTTTATAATTTTCTTGTCTTTTTTACATTTATTTTTGTAAATGAATTTAAAGATCATTTTGTTAGTTTTTTTCCTCCTATTTGACTCTTTTGTTGTACCCATATAAATATATTAAATAATTTGAAGACATGTAATCATCATGCTATCAAAGTTTTGTCTATAGAATCTCTGTTTATAGAAGTCAAATGATATTATTGTTTATGTTTTTTACCATTAGGACTATATTCCTACTGTCTCCATTCTGTGCAATCCAGGAATGAGAGCTCGTCACTGGAAACAGATGTCAGAAATTGTAGGCTATGACTTGACTCCAGACTCTGGAACTACACTGAGAAAAGTTTTAAAATTAAACCTTACTCCATACTTGGATAAATTTGAAGTGATAAGTTCAGGTGCAAGCAAGGTAATCATAAAGATCAATAGCACTCTGGCAGGTTGATGCAGGAAGAGTGCTAGTTTGAGCCTAACCTGGGCAGCGTAGTGTGAGACTCTTTCTCAGAATTAAAAAAATTTTTTAAAGGGGCCCAGTGATTTAGCTCAGTGGCAGCATACCTGCCTTGCAAGTGCAAGGTCCTGAGTTTGATCGGTACCGAAAAAAAAAAAATTTTTTTTTAAAGGCCTGGGGTTGTAGCTCAGTGCAGAAGTCCTGGGTTCAGTCCCCAGTACTGAAAGACAAAAACAAAACAACCACATTTGAAATTCTTTATTTGATGAGTTTGTTGATCTAAAAATAATAGTTTTTGTTGTGGTGGAATGTATATAGTACTGAAGAGTAGTGGAAGGAGAATTGTGGTTAAAGGTGCAGAGTACTGAATAACAGTGTGTAGGAGTGTGTGTGTGACCAAAGGTTACTCTTTTTCACACACAAAGCATGTGCTTGCTTATCCTGAATCCAGACTAGAAATGGCCCCTTTGACTTCTTTGTAATTCTGCCACATCCTCCTGATATACTACTGTTAATACATAGTTATTCCAAGACTCCTGGATATTTATATATGTATGGCATTCAATGTGGGGTGGGATTCTAGAAAGTAAGTATGGCTCTAGAGTGAGGGTTCTTCAGATACATAGAAAGTATTTTCAGACTACCCACTACATGCAGAAAGGCTCCTTCAGAAAAAATCCAACAAGAATTTTATTCACTTGTCCATTTTAATTTAATACTTAGAGCAGTAGTTTTCATAAGTGAATTTTTTTTTTTTTGGTACTGGAGATCGAACTCAGGTCCTTGCACTTGCAAGGCAGTCACCGGAACCACTGAGCTAAATCCCCAGTCCATAAGTGGATTTTTAACAGCTACATTCTTCATAGGAAGTTTTAAATTATGAAATAACCCTTTCTAACAAAAATGTATTATATAGTCACAAAATATCTTAAAGAAATGATAGTGTAATTTACTAAATGTTTATTGAACTATCTAGGAAAAGCCAATATAGTAAATAAGTTCCTTTTTTAACCCACTGTGCTATTCTTTATTTCTCCTTTTCAGGAATTTTCTTTAGAGAAAGGCATGCATACAATGATCGGAACTTGGGATGCTATTTCTTTTCATATAAGTCTGTATCGTGATACTGGAGTCTATATTCTTTCTACAGTAGATGAGATTCAAGCAATCCTTGACGATCAGCTTATAAAAACTCAGACAATGAGAGGCTCGCCTTTTATCAAGCCATTTGAAAAAGAGATCAAGGTATGTTAAATGTGATAGGCAGCTCTTGGTCATTTATACAAGTCTTAATTTCATTACATATATAATACTTTCTTGGAAATAAATCCATTTACCAAGTACCTTTTAAAATGTTTTTCAAATCATAAAACTATACCCTTGATATTTTATCAGGTGAAATATAGGAACAAATATTTTTAAGTTAACATGGAAATATATATAATAGATCTGAGACATCAGTGATTTTGAAAAGAAAATTATGTTTTATTAAAATTTTCCCTAGTGACCGTGATAGACTTAAAAAAAAGTTTATATTGTTTCTTTTCTTTTTGCGGGGGTCGGGAGGATGTGTGGAAGGTAGGGGAGGAGGGTGAGTCGGCAGCTTTCCAGGATTTGTAAACTTCATATCAATAAAAAATTAGAGTTCTAGGGCCAGGGATTTAGCTCAGTGGTGCCACCGCCTGCCTTGTAAGCGCAAGGTCCACAGTTCGATCCCTGGTACCAAAAAAACAAAACAAAAACCGTAGAGTTCTAAAGTTTAAAGAAAGGAAGACATTTTATTGGATACTTTACTGGAAAGGGGGAAAAGAGATAGCTACCTTGATAGATAAGATTGGGGGGTCTTCACTGCAAAAATTGGTGTCTGAAATGAACAGACATTTCTCAGACAAAGAAGTAAAAACAGCAAATAAATATATGAAAAAATGTTCAACATCACTGGTCATTTGAGAGATGTTGAAAACAACACTGAGATTCCACCTCACCCCACAAAGAATGGCTGCTATCAAGAAATCAACCAATAACAAATGCTGGCGGGGGTGTGGGGAGAAAGGAACCCTTCTCCATTGCTGGTGGGAGTGCAGACTGGTGCAACCACTGTGGAAATCAGTATGGAGATTCCTCAAAGAACTAGAACTAGAGGTTCCCTTTGACCCAGCTGTTCCTCTTCTTGGTATCTTTCCCAAAGTATTAAAAGCATCATACCACATTGATATATGTGCACCCATGTTTATAGTGGCACAGTTTGTAATAGCTAAAGCTTGGAAACAGCCCCAGTGCCCATCACCTGGAAACTGGATAAAGAAGATGTGGTTTTTTGTATAAAATGGAGTACTACTCAACCATAAAGAACAAGAAACTAGAGACATTTATAGCTAAATGGATGCACATTGAGGCCATACTCTTAAGTGAAATAAATAGGACACACATGTGTAAATACCAAATAGTTTCTCTAGTGTGAGAAACTGAAAGTGTAAATAAGGATTAAAATGATTAAAATGAATAATTGATAATTTGAAATAGGAAAAGGTCCAAAGGTGTAGGGGTGGTGGGAGGGGAAGGGGAAAGGGAAAAAGGGAAAGGAAAAATTATGAGAAAAGAAAAAAAAAAGGAAATGAAATCTATGTAAATAGGGAAGGGTGGAGGGGGTGAAGGGTGCACAGGTTATGGAGAAAAAATAAGAACCAAGCTTCATCATGTACAGGTACAAGCACCCAATGCTAAATGTAAACATATTGTATACCTAAAATGTACCAATAAAAGAATTAAAAACAAAAGATTGGGGGGTCTTGGAGCTGCCTCGCAAGCACAAGGTCCCGAATTCGATCCCTGATACCAAAAAATAAAGATTAGGGGGCTCTGGAAAGATGGAGGACCCAGCCTCCACATTCCCTTTGAGACAAGGTCTTGCTAGGTAGTTTGGGCTGGGCTTTGAACTCTAGGCTGTCTTTGAACTTGAAGTCCTGCCTCAGGGTCCCAACTGTTGGATTACAGGCTCATATCACCATGTCCAGTGCTGGAGGGCCTTTTATTCTTAGTGCTTTATACTGGGTGTTAGGACCCCCTCCCCAAATTTATAATAATCTGATTGGCTATTTTAGGCCCTAGGGTTCCACCCCAGGTACCATCTCTCAGTGCAGATTCTTTTTTTTTTTCAGTGCAGATTCTTAAGTGAATTTCATTTAGTTTTCTTTGTCCTGTCAGAAGAATTTACAGGTTTGTTAAGAGGACTTTACATACAAGATCGAGTTAGCCAAAAAGCTTACTGAGGCCTTCATCCTATTATTTCCCTGTCTGTCCCCCTTCCCTTTTTTTTCTTTCCTCTCCCCTCCCCTCTCCTCCCCTTCCTTTCCCCCTCTTTTTCTTTCCTTTTCTGGTGATGGGGATTGAACCTAGGGGACCCATACATGTTAAACACACGCCCTTATCACTGAGCTACACCCTCAGCCACAGTTGGTATTATTTCTAACTTGAGAAAGCCTAGACCAGTGGTGGTGAACATATGGCATGTGTACCACAGTGGGCACGCAGAGCCCTCTCTGACACTATGCGAGCCAAGTTGCCCAAGCATCAGATAACAGTTGTTTTTTCTAAACTAAAACCTCAGTATTCAGGTTTAATTGCAGTGTTGGCACTTTGTGATAAGTGGATTTGGGGTTGCAGTTTGGGCACTCGGTCTCTAAAAGATTCGCCATCACTGGCCTAGATCCTCTTTCATGGTGTATTCTTGTAACATGTAGTAAAGTTGTAAATATGGTTCTTTAATTATATTTAAACAACTGGTATGACTTTCTTTTAGAGTAATTAATGAATTATTGTCCCCATGAGAAAAACAAATGCTATTTGAGACTCCAAGATTATTTTCTATCTTTATAGGTGATGTGGGTAATTATAGAAAGCATACGAATAATGGTAATTAACAGCTTCATGGTGTAACTGAGCACAATGGTTTTGCCCTTTGGTGAGTGCAGTCAATAAAACACTACCAGGAGATTTAAGACTGAAAAAGGTGTAATACTTTCATCAAGTAAGGAGACATGAGGATAACTCCCAAAGCAGTGTCTCCCTGAGTAAAGGAAGCAAGGGATTTTTACTGGGGAAACCATACATATTCATACTGGAGAAACTTGTCATGGTGGGCACATTGCTGAGCAGGGTTAGAAATCATGTTTGTTCTCATACATTGCATGTTCAAAGATAGTAGACAGTAGTCCCCTCCTACCATGCAGAGAATTTAGCATTCTAACAAGATTATAACGAGCAAAGTTTATTCTATGTCACCTAGAAAAGGAACTGGGTAGCCTTAGCTGGTTTAATGCAGTTCCTGTGGTTTTCTCTGGGAGATCTTATCTAAAATAAACAACTTGGAAGGAAAGGGTGTTAGCAGTCAGGACCTCCATGGGGTGTAGGGGGGGAGCACAGATGCTTAACCTTGTAAGTTTCTGTCCAGCAACTAATAATAGATAGTATCAAAAGTTAACTGGGGCTGGGGATTTAGCTTAGTGGTACTGCGCCTGCCTCAGAAGTGCAAGGTTGTGAGTTCAATCCCTGGTACTAAAAAAAAAAAAAGTAACTGGGGGTTCTATAAATTGGGGAAAAGACAACTCTATTGTTTGCCTAATACTGATTGATTTTTAACTATAAGCCAGATACTGCTCTATGGGCTTTACATTTATTAACCAATTTAATTCTCACAGCAGACCTTTAAGGTAGGCACTGTTATTATTTATATAAATGGGCAAAGAAACCAAGACACAGGAGGATACCTAATTTGCCCAAGTTAACCTAGTTAATAAATGACAGAGCTGGGATTCAAATCAAGGTAGTTTTTTTCACCAGCTACAATTTTTATTTGATTTTATTTTTAATTGACAACTAATAACTATATATATGTGTGTGTGTTGTACATTATGATGTTTTCATATGTTTACAATATAGAATATTTAATTTGAGCATAAATAGCACTTTATTAAAGATTTTGGTTGCCTTTATTTGGCAAAACAAAGAGTAGTGGTCTTCCAAGAGAATATGATGTTGGATATTTCCTATGAAATGGGCCTGCTGAGTTATCCTAATAGGATCGGATGTCTTTTATAGAAAGTTCTTATGTAACAAGAGGAACTTAAAAAACAAATTTAAAATGCTCTGTTAGAGCTTTAAAAGAAGATGAGAGGTCTAATTTCTTGATACATAGGATTTCATGCCACATACAGTATTTAAGAACAATGGAAAGAGATTATATAGTCTTCAGCTAATAAAATTATCTTATTAAGTCTAGGCAATGTGTGAGAATAAGGGAGCTTGTTTTTTAAAATTCTTTTCAATTTTTCTTTTCCTTTTCCCTTTCTTTTCTCTCCAAATTGCATTGATGTAGAGCAGGATTCCACAACATGGAACTGTTGATATTTTGGGATGAGTATTCTTTTTTGGTACTGGGGATCGAACTTGCGACTTTACACTTGTGAGGCAGGCAGCACCACTGAGTTAAATCCCCAGCCCAGGATGAGGAATTTTTTGTTATGGGGGCTGTCCTGTATACTGTAGAACATTAACAGTATTTCCATCCTCCATCCTCCATTGTTGGCTCTGATAAATGAAAATATCTCCACTGTCAAATGTTCCGTGGAGTGGGAGGAAAAACATATGGTTGATAACCACTCACTCACATAGAGATAGCTAGCTATATTTGGGGGGGATTTGGGGTGGTTCCCCTTAGAGTTTAGGAAAGTGGGTTAAGTAACATTACAGTCACTTCCAAATGTGAGTTCCAATGATTTAGGAAAACTTTAGACCTCCTAGAGTTTATCTGAGCCTTTGTGAGATATCCATAAATAACCATAAGCTGTAAACTATTTGAATTAATACAAAAAAGATAGTAAAATTTTAAATACATTTTTTCTGTGATTTTTAACTTTTCTTTAACAACTAGAATTTACTACAATATGCTTTTCATTAAGGCCTGGGAGGACCATCTGATTCGAATACAAGAAACAATTGATGAATGGTTAAAAGTACAAGCTCAGTGGCTCTACTTAGAGCCCATCTTTTATTCTGAGGACATTATGCAACAGATGCCAGAAGAAGGATGTCAGTTTCATACAGTAGACAGACACTGGAGAGATATTATGAAATTTTGTGCAAAAGATCCAAAGGTGAAATGTTTGTTTTCTCTCTTTCAGTAGGTGAACCTTTGTTTTTGGATATTAAAGCATTGGACTACTTTTTTTCTGATTATGAAAAGAAAGCCTACTCCTTGTTTGCAAAATAGAAAGTTCAGAAAAATATAAGAAAATATAAAATTATTAAATAATTTTACTTTTCAGTTTGTAACATATATTATGTATAACTTTTTGGTATATGTAGTAGAGCTACTTCACATGTACATTTAATTCATTTGTCTTCTACTGTGTACATACAATCACTGCTTCCTTCCTCACAAAATAAATAGATAAATAAAACAGGGAGAGGGATTAGTTCACATGACTTTCTATATGCAATGAAGGGGAAAAAAGAATCTACTCTCAGTTGGTCTCAAGCCTATGTGTTTCTCCTAGTGAGTATGACACCTTGTTGCATGTAATTTTAATGTTAAAATACACGTATTTTTATATGTGTAGTAACACAGATAATAAATATTCATCTTTTAAAAATCTAGTATTTAACTTAAATAACAATTCGTTTCAAAGTGCTAGACTTATTGAGAATCAGTAATATAGTGAAATTTATAAATTTCAAGAATTTTTGTCTTACCTGTTGACTTTACAAGGTTTGTGATAAATGATTTCCTTTGCTTTATTTTTTTTTCCTTCATTCAGGGGATGGGACTCAGGAACTTGAGCTTGTGAGGCAGGGATAGCACCACTGAGCTAAATCTCTGGCTCAATAAATGATTTCTTGTAGATCAGATGTTGCCAGATTTTTCTGTGGTGGGTCAAATAGTAAATATTTTAGGTTTGTGAGACAGAGTTTTTCCTGTCATTGTAGTAAGAAAGCAGTCAGAGATAATATGTAAATGAAAGGGCAATAATGAAATTTGTTTTATGGACACACATTTTTGTGTATCATGAAATATTATTTTTTGATTTTTTAAAACTTAAAAGTATAAAAATAATTCTTAGCTCATGGGCCATATGAAAATTGGCAACAGGCTGGATTTGGCTGTTAGTATGTAGTTGGCCAATTCCTTCTGTAGACTGCTAAGTTTATGGTTCATAGTTGTGAAAATAAAAATTAAGTCACACATCAACCTAACAGACTTTTCCTACATCATTCAAAAAGATACAGGAGAAATAAAAACATATATGATGATCATAACTGCTCTAGTGTCCTTGTGTGTATCATTTAGGGTTCATTATAGAAATAGGTTTAATTACATATATATTGTGATGGTTGATTGATTGTGTCAACTTGAGTAAGAGAAGCTCAACTAAATTGGCTCAGCAATTCCACACCTTAGGGTGTGAAAAAGCCACCTTAGGGGGGCTTGTTGCCTGGATGGTATAAAGGGGAAATGCAGGACAGATCTGCTTCTGTTTCTTTGGAGGAGCTCCAATCTTCACCTTCACCTTGGACATCATCTCATGGTTTCCAGTGCAGACTCTTCAGCCTCCTCCACTGCAGATCCTTCAGCCTTCCGGCACAGACCAGTGGGCCTCGTGAAGTGGACCTGCACAGAACACTACAGTGAGCTCCAGAGCTTTGACTGGATCTATCAGATCTCCAGTGTGTAGTCAGACCCTCTGCACTCTTCCACATCTGACTCGGGGGGTGGTCACTGTAAGCCAATCTTGTCAATTTTTATATATTTGTATATCTTGTATTATATCTGTTTCTCTAGTATACACTGACTGATACAGAATTTGGTAGCAGAGAAATGGGATCATTGCTGTGACTGTACCTGACCATGTGGTTTAAGAACCTTTGGAACTGGCTTGTGAGAAGAGTTTGGAAAGGATTGGAGATGCCAGCTGAAAAAGTATAGCTGGAATGCCTTAGGCTGTACTTGATGGGAGATTCTGGTCAGAGCTAAGAAGACTAGGATGCTGACAGAAATGATGCCAATAAAGACCACCCTTGGGAAGTTTTTGCTGGGAAGAAGGACTACATTGGCTGTTGGACTCCAGATGATGTGTGTTATGGCTTGGCAGAAAGTTTGTCTGCATTTTGCTCGTTCCCAGAGACTTTGGGTGAGACTGAGATTAAGGGAAGTAGACTAATCTTGCAGAAGAAATTTCAATGTTGAGGTGGTGGCATGGCTTCTGTAGGGGGGTTAGCCAGATTTATGTTGAGAATCGAGCAAAGAGCCCAGCAGAATGATTTAAAATGTTTTGAGTTTGGCTAGAAAGAAAACTCTAGTAGAGCTGTGGACTGCAAAGATGGAGCCTTAGGAGATCTTGATTGCTAAGAAGGAACAGGAGAATAGAAAAAATGGCCTGAGGGAATCACAAGATACAGCAGGACCCCACCCTTTGCAGCCCCAAAATTGCAAGCATAAAAGTCTTTACTTTGAGAAGAGAGCCCCAGAGTACCATGTTCCAGAATGGCAATGGCCTAGGGAAGTTGTTCATTGGAATTTGGTTCATAGGCACTGGATCCCTACAGCCAAGAGAGAAAGAAGCCTAGTACTGCTCCAGCTTGCAGCAGACCTTGGCGTCATCCACATGGTGCTAGTTTTAGGTGCATGCAGAATGCAAGATTTGTGAGGTCAGGAAGGCTTCTACCCGGATTTCAGAAGAAGGCCTGGGAGACCTGGTCTGAGAGGTCAGTGTGAAGCTGGGAGTGTGAAGCCAAAGTTGCAGTAGAGACCCCAAAAGGTTAGAGAAACCAGGAACGTGGATCATCTAAGGAAAGCTGCAAGAAGTAAGCAAAACCAGCCAAAGAAAGAAGCCATGGGACGTATAACCACTAGAAATTCCACAGGGGTGGAGCCACTCAATCCCTTTGGAGTTCAAAACTTGCCAAGGATGCTGGAAGTGGAATTGTGAGATTTAATGTTTGCCCTGCTGAATTTTCATCTTGCTTTATTTCCATTCCTTACTATCCCTCTGTAACTTTTGGAATGGAAATGTCTATCTTGTGCCATTGAATGTTGGAAATGTTTAACTTCCTTTTCATTTGTACAGAGGTTGCCTTAAATCTCAGAGGAGACTTTGGACTCAGACTTTTCAGCAATGCTGAAACTGTTGGGACTTTGGCAACTTTTACTAAATACCCTTTGGATAAAGGGATGTGCATGAGTCTTTAGGGGGCCAGGGACTGAATGTTATGTCTTGTGCCTAGATGTCCCCCAGGGCCTCATGCAGTCATAGATGGGGCTTTTTCAGAGGTGGCTAGATCTAGAATGTGTGATGCTAGGATCTATTCATGGTGCAATGCTGGGATCAAGGGTATTATGATTAAGGATGTGAGTGCTACCCACCCTAAGTAGCCTGGATGAGATATAAGAGAGAAAGAGCTGTGGTCAACCCTTGTTGCTTTGCTACATCCTGCCTGACATGAACTGTTTCTCCTCTGTGATCCCTGTCTGCCATGCCACCCTGCCTTGGAGCCCCCCAGTTATGGACTGAAACCTCTACAAACCTTTCCCCCTTTCACTTTGGGTATTGAGTATTTTGTCTCAGCAATGAGAAAAGTAACTAATATATTTATGTATATATACACAAATACACACAAACACGGTATATAAAGGATTTACAAGGTAGGCTTACAAATGGCTGACAGCAGAGTCAGATTGAAGAATGCAAAAGTGGCATCTTCTGGGTGCTGGAGAGCCAGAGGATCCAGTCACAAGTTGAAAGCCTAGAGCTCACTGTGGAATCCAGTGTAAATCCATATTAGGAAGCTGAAGGATCTACATTAGAAGGCTGAAGAGTCTGCGCTGGAAGCCTGGAGACAGATGTCCAAAGGTGATGGTGAAAAATGGAGCTCTTCCGAAGAAGCAAGAGGGGAGACTTCTTTCTTTCTCTTTTTGTTTCATCCAGGCTACAAGCCTATTGGTTGGTGCCATCCACACCCAGGGTGGGTCTTGTCTTTTCAGTAAATCAATTATCCACACCTGGGACTGTGCTAAATCAATCCATTAAGTGTTTCTTATTCAAGTTGACATCACAATTAACTATCACACCTTGGATAAGTATATTTTTTGGGGGGTAAGAATATTTATGATTTATTGAATATTTTTTATATTACAAAAGATGTTTCACGCAAATTTCATTAAAGTTTTATAATTTTAACCTTTTGGACATATGCTTAGTTCTTATATCTAATGTGTTTCTTATATGAACATGTCTCTTTCAGGTTCTTGCTGCTACTTCTTTAACAGGTTTATTGGAAAAACTGCAGACCTGTAATGACCTTTTGGAGAAAATTTTGAAAGGACTTACTGCGTATCTTGAAAAGAAACGTCTTTTTTTCCCTCGGTAGGGTTGATAATTAATTGGGCCATAATTTGAAGCATTTTCTGATGTGTGATGAATTACCACTAAAACTTTTGTATTTGCATGTTTTTCTCTAGTTTTTTCTTCTTATCCAATGATGAAATGTTAGAAATTTTGTCAGAGACCAAAGATCCACATAGAGTTCAGCCTCATTTAAAAAAGTGCTTTGAGGGCATTGCTAAGTTGGAGTTCCTTCCCAGTTTGGACATTAAGGCCATGTATAGCTCTGAAGGTGAGCGAGTGGAGCTGATTGAACTTATTTCCACATCTGCAGCACGAGGTGCTGTAGAAAAGTGGCTCATTCAAGTAGAAGATCTAATGCTCCGAAGTATTCATGATGTGATTGCAGCAGCCAGGCTGGTATGTTTCCTAAGATTTAATGTATACCTCATATTCTGCAAATGCTGTGTTTTAAGGGTTTTGAATAGGTATCAGTAAATTAATACTTAAAGTTCATGCTATTTTAAATAATGTATTCTTTACTTCTTTGTTACTAACATTGTTATTACAATATTAGCAAGTATTGATAATAATATATAATTAACCATTATGAAAGAAAATATTATGAGAATAATAAAAGGTATATTAATTTAGAATGTAGGAGGTTCCAGTGATAGACTTTTAGAGGAAGTAATGTGGACACTGAGATCTAAAAGATAAGTAGGAAATAACCAGGTAAAGAGCAGGTGAGAGAGCATGTAGGTATCCTGCATAAATGCCCTGGGATCAAAAAGAACTGGGGATCATGAGAATCTAGTAGAAGACAATTGTGTTTGGAGCAGTGCTATGGCTAGCACTCATGCCACTTGGGGCGGTCCTTTAATTTGCCACCCTCCAGCATCTGAATATGTTAACTTACTTAAATAGAAAATTAAAATGATTATAGAGAAAAACATTCATATTTTGATGTATTTGAATCTTTGTTGTGTTAAAATGGAGTAAATTCTTATAATATAATTTTCCTTTTGGCCAATAATACTGCCCCCAAAATGTGTTGCTGGGGTGGACCCAGCCCCAGCCTCAGCCCCAACTCCAGCCCCAGCTCCACCCCCGCCCCCACCCCACCCCACCTCCAGCCACTGGTTTGGAGTAAAGTGAGTGCAGCAGAAAGTAAAGTTAGATGAGGCTGGAAAGGAAGGAAGTTAGGAGACTAGATTTCATTTTAAATGCAGTATAAGGCTAATAGTATTTTAATGGGGGAAAAACATAATCTGATTAATTTTTTATGCCACTATGGCTGTGGTATAAAGAATGGATTAGTGAGAGAGAGGAAAACTGGAACGCAAGATTAGGAAAACCTTGGGCTGGGGATTTAGCTCAGTGGTTCAGCCACCCGCCTTGCAAGCACAAGGACCCAAGTTCAATTTCTGGTAGCAAAAAAAAAAAAAAAAATTAGGAGAACCTTTTATTAGCCAAGATGAAAGTTTGGCACTAGGCAAGTGGCACAAGATATGGAATAACATAGACAGCTTATAGATATATTTTATAGTTAGTTTCAATAGGTCTTGGTGATAAATTGGTTGTAGAATACAAGATCGAGGAGGGGAAGGTCTTAATATTTACTTTAAGGTTTCTGATTTAAGAATATGGGTGGTATTTACTTTTCGGCAATGTCTGCAAAAGAAATAGGTTAGTGGAGACTTGGAGAAAATCAAGAATTTAATTTTAGGTATGTTAAAATTGAGGTAGTTAGTGGCTATGTCTAGTAAGCAAACAATTGTACCCTTCAACACTTGCTGATCTATAGGTCAGTCCTTCTCAAACTTGGGTGTTGAACGATCTAATTCATTTACTGTTTTTACACAATAACTAAAATACTCCAAATGAGATGAACAAACATTAAAGGACATATAATAAACTTGAAAGAAATATAACACTTGGGCACTATATCTATCTCTCTTAATGTGCTCCAATTAACTTAATGTTGAGTGATACGTATTTATGTAATTTTGCCGTTAGGATCAGAAAGGAGCAGTCATGTAGTAAATGAGTATCTGAAAAAGTCCTTGGAGCTTTACATGCAGCAATTCACTGCATGAGTGAGGTGGCTTTTTTCTTTCATCAAAAGTAATATAATCTTGGGCCAAGGATTTAGCTGCGCCGCACCTGCCTCGCAAGTGCAAGGTCCTGAGTTCAATCCCCGGTGCTGGAAAACAAAAAAAAGAATAATATAATCTAATTTTCTTGAAGTGGCTTTTTTGTTCTGCTTCAGTGTTCTTCCAGATAAATTTTAATTTTTTTCTCTTTTATTATTTATGGTTCCAAACAGATTAAAAACATATAGAAAGTGTTAACATTGTTCACAAAAGTATTTTCTTAGTATAGAAAATTTCCTTTCTGTATACCTAGCAATAGCTCTCAATGGCTACTCATCTTTCTTTAAAGCTTAGGCTAGTTTATCATTTGCATTTATTTATAAATACTGTAATAAGCATTTTAAAATAATATGTATCTATATCTTTTATTCCCTTAGCATTCTTATATCTAACATGCTGCTATTTGTTAAAAGTATAGTTTCCCTTATCTTCAACTTTTAAATTATTTTTCAGTTTTTTAAACTTTTGTAAAATTTTATATCTGCTGTTATCATTTTTATTGAAGCAAGGTTTTTTTTAGTGATTAAGACTTCCACAAATCTGTGTAAATGCCTTTTAAATATAACATTGTTAGGAATAAGTGAAAGTATGCTTTAAACTCTGTCTTAGTTACTTTCTCATTGCTAGGACAAAATACCTGACACCCACAAGTTAAAGGAGCAAAGGCTTATTTTAGCTCACAGTTCATAGAGGTTTCAATCCATAATTGGCTGGTTCCAAGGCAAGGTGGCATGGCAGAGGGGCATCACAGAGGAGAAATAATCCTTGACAAGCAGGAAGAAGGCAGAAGGCACCAAGAAGCAGCCTGTCTTCCATCTTTCCATATATTTTTTTCTACTGGGGATTGAACTTGGGTCCATGTGCTTGCAAGGCAGGCGACAGAACTACGAGCTAAATCCCTGGCCCTTTCCTTTTATATTTTATCCAAGATACCAGCCTATTGGCTGGTACCACCCACACCCAGTCTGGGACTTCCCATTATCCATACTCAACACTATGCTAAACCAATTTAATTATCACACACCATTAATTTATTATTACACACTCCAGATCTATCCACCTATGAAAAGCTCCACCTATGAACACATGAGGCTTGGGGGGAACATCTAGATACAAACCATATAAACTCAAAAACAGATTGTTCAGTGGTTTATAGTTGAGCATATATAAATATTTGTGTAACCTGATCATGCACTGTTTTAGAAAAGCTATGGGTAAATAATATAGGATTTCTAGTTACTAGTTTAGTTTTCTATTAGATTGTATAGTATTTTCAGTTAAATCTTAGCATTAGTATATATAATCCATTTGACTTCATTTTTACAGTTTAATGAAACCTTTATATTTTCATTATAATAGAAGGAAAATGTATTTTATATAAAAACTTGACAACTTCCACAGCAAAGGAACATAAAAATCACAGAAATAAACTTCCAGAAGAATCAACATTCAAATCTGTCCAGAGATAGCTCATAATTAACATGTTGATGCTCATTTTCCATTTATTTTATTAATAAATGTAATTTAT